AGAAAAGTTGATGCAGATTAATATATTGTTTGTTAAATGCTGCATGTTGTTAACAATATTGGAAACCATTCGAAAAGAGACGTAGCAACATTTTTTTGAAAATATACGACGGTAATACTATGGATTCGAGACTCGAGAGTTTCCAATCAAATAAAAATAATGTGATTAGTTATCATTAAATGTTTGAACAACTATGAGAAAGCTAATGATATTATTGTATTGTAATTTATAAATGTTTGAATCTTGATGTGACGATATTACTATGTTTGAACCTTTAACAAAAAAAGATATATTACTATATTGTAATATTCGAATGTATAACACGGTTTTTAAATCTTCCTGGAAGCTATAATTGGTGGTCGGTGAGTATAGAAGATTTAAGTAAAGTAATAAAACTACTGTCTTAGCAAAAAAACTTTCAGTTGAAAACAAGAAAATCAAGAACATAAAAAGAACCAAACAGGTTTGTTAAAAGTTGCTGAAGTGCTATGAAAATATGTCAAATTGGTTGGTAAATCAGTAAATATTATTGATTTTTTTTTAAAGAGTCTCTTCGGCTATTTTGTTGAATGTGTTCTGATCTTAAAGTTCGTAAATACCAAATTTTGATAGTCGATACATAAACAGATTAGAAATACGATCAGTCGATCATATAATTTTATCATTCCCACCATAAAATCAATAACAAAGAAACTAAAGGGCTATGTTTTCCGTACCTTGGAGGATGAGTTTCTTGGGTTGTTTGAAATCCTCTTTCTCTGCAGACAAAATGGCCATTGTCCTTCTGAACAAAGAGGCTTACCGTACAAAGCAAAGTTACTGAGAGTCCTTGGAGCTAAAATCATGTTTCATTCTGGTTTCAAATAGAAGCTAAATCCCCTCCTTGAACAAATTGATCCATTAACGAAAGCAATAATGAAAAAATGTTTCCTTATTCTACCATGAATAATCTGTTTACATTAGCGACTCAAACTCTGTTTTGCAAGTTTCCTTGCGGCACAAGAAAGCAAAAACTATGTGTAACTTAAGAGAAAAATAGAAAGATAACAGAGAAGGGTATTCTTTACGATGCAATACTTGCTCGTAGCTTTAGCAAAAACGGCCACAAGGGACTTGGTTATCGAGCTTTCATTGCTTCTTTTCTCTCCGTCTTCACTCTTTGCAATGTCTTTAAACCTGATCTCAGCTTTTACCAATCGGGGAGTCTCTTGACCGCGTTTGTCAAACGCCACATGACAGCATGTTTTTTACTCCTTAGAAGAGAATCAAAGACTATATGACTCAGGCATGTCTCATTGCTCAAACGAAAACGTATAGGATCTAGATTTGTCTGTCTAGGTTGATTCTTTTTTTCCTCACTTTTCTCTTAAATAAGATTTTTTCAACATCTCCACAGCTCTGAAACAAACCAGGAAGCTGCTGTCTAGTGACCTATAACACCTTGAAACACACAGAGGGACAAAAAATCATGAACCCATAAATCCGAGAACAAACATGATTGAGAACAAGGTGAAAGGTAGTCTTTAAAATCAGGGTTTTCTTAAATAAACGAAGGCCATTGCTTGCTATCGCGTAATCAAATTAGTTGACGTTGAAGTGGACGTTGAATCTGAGCCAGGGTAAATCGATTTAAAAAATGCAATTAGTCAACCAACAATTTTCCATCATCAGACAATTTTCTGTCTCAAGATACGGCATTTACGTGGGCATAATAGCATATATTTAGATAAATTTCATCAAAATAATCATCGAAACAAAGGAAGTTAGATGACTATGTTTACCTCCTCATCTCCATCATCGTCTCCAACAAGATCCTCTTCATCACCAAACCACCTAACCTTGGGACGTTGGGGTGTATCTACTACAGCAAGCATGTAAAAGAAGAGCTTCATCAGAGCTCCAACAGGAACGTAAGGAACTGTTCACAATTTCTTGTTTTTCCGCTCCGATTCCCTCTTCTAACTTTTTGTAAGCATACTTTGTGAAAACAAACTTACCTTAGGCATCTGATTGCTTAACTTTAATATCTCTTGTTCCAACACTTGAGCATGAGATCCCAACAAAAATTACTAATGTTAGTATTGTCCCCATTCGTAGTTGTAACTGAAAAAATAAAAATATTATACCTGAAGCTTCATACGTAGCTGTTCTATCTCTAACTTTTGGCACTTGAACAAAGCGGCATCAGTGAAGACCTCAAGTATTTAAACACTGTCAGATTTATTCCGATAAAGTGAAAGAAAACCAGACATATGTAGTGACTACATACAACACTAAGATAAGAAAAAAGGTGAAAAAGAGAGTAATATGTGTCCAAAGAATGAGTGATCAATAGCCTGCAAAAATTGCAGAGAAAATACATCACACACATACACATCTACATTATCCGAAAAGGCATTGGCTAGTTACTTGGACCACAGAACTGTAAATGCCACTAACCTGCCTAAAACGGGTGAGAAGATCACATATATGTACATAGTTATTCATCAATGTCCGAGCCTGAATGTACCTGCAAACAGAAATGTACATGGCACAGTCAATAATAGAATTCTGTTACACAAACCAAGGAGCAGAAGGAAGGGAAAATCCATAGAACATAAGGTAGTTAACGTATTAAATTCCGCTTGACGGTCTTTGTATAGTGATTCATAGTAATCAGCCTCTTTTATATCTAGTGTATCCCCCCTCAGAGTGATCTACAGGAAGTCAAATTTATATGCAGAGGTAACGCTAGGAAGCAACTATACCGAGCTTCATTTACATCAGAAAAGGGAGACAAAGGAACGTGCGATTCTAGGAGGAAGGGAAAGATCAGCTGCACGGCCCAATTTAGGTGAGCATAGGAAGGGCATGATCAGCATTCGAAAGAGTCAAGAAAATGCAAATGCTAAAAAGTTGACATGCAGACCTCATTCAATTGAGCATAGTTGGTGATGTGCTTGGCTCTGCTTGCGAATTGGAGAGCTCCTTTTGATTCCTCAATATGATGCTACATACACCGTCATGTACTTTTGATAAATCAACTGTCTATTCTTGTGCTCTAGATGATTAATAAAAGCCAAGAAGAAGCAAAACCTGAGCACAAAGTATGCAAGACTACAAAACCCAAGAACGTATAGCTATTGTAATAGTAATCAGAAAGAGAATAGAAGAAACACACAGTATGTACCATTCAACCACTTATTAACTAAGGGTATATGGCATATCGCAAGGTAACATATCACAAAGAAACCTAGAAAGCCAAAGATTGGTAAAAACCATAACCATATAGGCTAAGATCAGTGCATTGGATGACTTGGTGGTGTGGTAATCAATTAGTCATTAAAAACATCAAACAAGAAACAGAGTAAATGATTTTGTTCGTATTAGGGAGAGAAATTGTAAAGGCTTCTACTTCAAAATATGACATCAATTTAACAGGTTCGAGAAGATAGAGTACCTCTTTGGCCATGGTACAAGCTTTCTCCGAGACGTTGAAAATCACCTAGAAAAACACCGAGAAATTGAGAGACATGTGAAGGAGAAATTACAAAAGATAGAGGGTAAAATAATTGCTAAAGCGGAAATTGTAGAGACCATTGCTAACTTTGCATTCCCACCAAGAGACTCTTGCAATAAAAATGTTAACCTGGAATCCCTGTAATGTATATGCCTTGGCTTCCATGTTTGAGAAATATCTGCAATGTTTGAAAAAAATCAGAACATCAATATATAATTTTAATGGGAATGAACCAATAGAGAAAGTAGAAAAGGAGATGAGAAATCAAAGTAGAGTGCTTTGCTTACGAACTTGAGATGAGAAATGTAGGACAGATGTTCGAAAGAGATGGTGAGTGATAACAGAGAAACCGTTTGGGTCTTGGATTTTTGAAACTGCTAGACTTCTTTTTACCACCTTTTAACTCTATGATAATCTCATTCACACTGTAATTGAGAAGAAACAAACCAAAGGTTAGATTAGAAGGAACCATGTATACATGGAGATTCAGTGATCAAGTTGAAATCCTTGCTCAGTGGAGATGATCTTCAACAATAGCTAGAAACATCTTTAAACTAAAAAATGTTCCCTTTCATATGTTGATTTTGCTAAAAGAAGTTTGTAACTTTGGATTCTTTTTGATCTTCAACACAATAAACACCAACTATCCAACAAAATAAGGATAAGCTTTGATTCGAATGCTAAAGTTAGGCATCCAACTTGAGGAAATTATAAAAAAGTTCTTGACTCTCAATTTCAATTACAATATATGTAATCAATCAACAAGATGGATCAAAGGAAGAAGTGTAAATTTACCAGAGTGCTTGTAAGAGTTAAGGTTGCAGAGATTGAACCTTAGCCTTGCCTCTGCAAAACTGTTTCACGAGAAACAATTGTTGGTCTTAATGATCTCCCTGACCAATTGTCATGGAAGTGTCCCATTTCCAAACCTATTTCATACACCAAAAAACAATCAATAAATATCGAATCTAAGAGGTAAAGACTACGCTGAATTAGAAGAGATATATCAAAGCGGTACCCTAATGTGAAAGACTGAAAAAAGGCAAGGAGGAGGAACGCAGAAACGATTGGGCGTGAAGATATGTGAGAGGATCTAAAGCTTCAAAGGTAGGTATGCTCAGATTAAGTTAAGACTTAATCCGTGATGGATGTAAATAAGATGGAAACGAAAAATAAGCATATCCTTGATTTTTATTAATCGTAACATTTAGTTCAG